TTTGGTATTGTATCCTAAGAACCAGTGTTATTTAATGCAACAATTAAAGAAAATATTTAATATAATTTAGAATCAGCTACCATAGAGGAAATTAAAAGTGCAGCTAAGAAAGCTAATGCTTATGACTTTATTATTTCTAATTTCTTTGATGAAAAAAGTGGATTTTCTAGACAAGTAGGTCCAAAAGGTAGTTAGATTTCAGGAGGTTAAAAATAAAGAATTGCTATTGCTAGAGTCATTCTTAGAAATCCTAATTTTTTGTTGCTTGATGAGCCAACAAGTGCATTAGATGCAGCAAGTGAATAACTCGTTTCAGAAAGTCTTTAAAATTTTACTCAAAATAAAACAACTATTTCTATTGCTCATAGAATATCAACTATTCAAGTAAAATATTTATTTAAAAACTTAGCATTCAGATGTCATCTATGTATTTGAAGATGGCAAAATTGTTGAATAGGGAGACTATTAAACATTATCGAATCTTAAGAAGGTTTTCTTTAGATTAGAATAAGGAATTAAATATTGATCTCATATAAAGAAGATATTTGTTATTAAATTTTATGTTATAATTAGTATATCAATCTTATATTTCAACTTAACTCAGAATTTAAATTATTTGGTATAAGATCATTTCTGAATTTTCGGAGGTTTTTCTTTCACCCACATATAGTAGATGACAAAAAATTAAAAATTGATATTATAATATTTTAGAGAAAGGAATTTACCAATAAATTGCTTTAAGTTAAATATATCAATAAGAAAAGTTGTTATTCATATGATAAAAAATGTAATAATCAATGTCTATACTAATTAATGTACACTAATTAAAAAATGCATATTAAATTAAACATGATCTAAAGTATCTAATATTTAGAATATCATAGATTAATAGAAAAGAAAAGTTTTCTCAATTTTAATAATGTTTAGGATTAAGTAAACTCAATCACCTAATATTAATATTTGCATCAAATCTAATGATATTAATTTACACATTTTCAGATTAACTAATTTTGGTTGATTAATAATCCTATTGATCTTGCTTAATGCATATTCATGATCGAGTAATTTTATACTTATATTCTCAATATTTGATGAATTAGTTATTTAAATGGAATATTAATTTAAGTAACTATTCAAATTTATTGAAATATTTAAGTTTAGTATAGATTACTAATTTTACATTAAATATCTAAAGTTTAAATAAAATTTTTATTTATTTGAACTTTTGGAAACATAATCATATATTCATGTCTACTCTGATGTATTTCTGTAGGATATAAAAATAAATTATAATTAATAATTCTTTAATGATAATATATTTATAAATATTGGATTTCATAATTCTTATTTCTCTTAAGTTTTCCGTAATTACAGTTAATTTACCATTGAAGTTTACAATCTGTTAGAAAAAGATGATAATCTTAAATTTTATTATTACTGCTATCCATTAGATGAGAAAATTGAATTGACCCCTTGTTATTAATAACTATTGCTACTCAATTATATCATTTATCCATAACCATATGTACTAAAGGTTTATTTTTGAGATGCTTATTTTGCTTATTATAAATCTTAAATAAGTTAAGGATTTTAAGAAGAGAATCGTTGATTTGCTTGAAATTTTATTAAAACATCATCTAATTTATTTTGAGCTTCTTAGTATTTTTCTTATTAGCAGGACTTTCTTGCATCATCAATTACCTAAGCTGCTATCACTCTATTGTATTATGTAAGAACTTCTATATCTTCTTCATTTTAATTTATTTGTTCATCTTGATGAAATATAGTCAAAGCAAGACTTGCAAATTTCTAAATTTTATCTTTCGTTAATGGATCAGTAATTTATAGCTGAACTTCCATAATTTAAGGATTTCTTTGATTATCTTAGATTTATTCATTTGAACAAGGTAATTCCAATTCAAATACAAAATCTTTTCTTTATCCTTCAATCAATACAGGAAGATCAATCTCATAATGACTCTCCTTATTTATCCACATATTTCCATAAGTCTTAGATATTTTTAAATCTTTTAAGATTTCAGGGGGTCTTAAGTTAACTTTAACTTATAATTTCTCCCCCACAACCGATTTCAAACCCCCTAAAGCATCTAAAAAAAATTCATCCAATAAAAATATATTCTACACAAAATAAAAGCTTCCATGTTTCAAATTGCAAATAGATGTCATCATAGCTGCATCATGATCCTCACCAAATCCAAACGAATGGATAGTAAATTCTTCATCTATTGATTGTAATTATTTCTATATTGATTAAGTGGCAGAATTATCTTGACCATCAGAAAGTAAAAAAATAGAGCTTACATTATTTTTATATTTCCTGCCTTTTAGTTATTGAAATGCAATCTCAGTTGCTGAGGCTATTTGTGTTCCTCCTTAAGCATAAATTTTATCAACAATTGTTATAAATTACTTTTTGTTATTTTCTGTTGTTCTTCTTAATGGGGTTAATCTGCGAGCATTATCGTTAAAGGTAATTAGTTATAAACGATCTTTTTCGGTTAAATAGTTTAATAGAACTTTTAAGCTTGATTTTACTGTCTCCATTTTTTACCCTCTCATACTAGAGCTTCTATCAATTAAACAAATCTATTATAAATTCAAATATATTACTAAATCTACTCCTACTCTATTAAGGTCTTAATCATTTGTTTGATCTTCTGTTTTTATACTAATCATTCCAGGCAACTACTAGATTTTTGTTTCTGATAATTTAATCATCTTATGCAATGTCTTAATCTCACAAATAAGTTCTTTATTTAAGTCAAACGCTTTAAAATCTTTCTTAGCTAATATCAAATTGCCTTCTATTTAATCATCATCATCATATGCTTCTTAAAAATCTTTCTCTTTTAATTACTGTTAATTATCCTATGTTGGAGCTAATTATTAAGCTTAAGAATTAGAATTCATATATTATTAAGGATAGTCTATTTTTCTACGTAAACTATTAGACAAAGGTGGAGGAACAACTGCTTAGAATCTTGATCTTGTCTATGTATTAATCTAATCTTAAATTTGTGAAACTTGCATATTTTATTAGACTGAGATATTATAATTATTTTTTTCCTGTTCTTATAGATTTTCTTCTGATTAGGGTAACATAATTTTTATCAAATAATAATAGAAATATTAATTAAAATTGAAGATTGATTAGAAAAGAAAAACACATGTACAAAATATTAAATTCTATTAAAAAATGTAATTTATTTTTCTTTTATAATAATTTTTTTTTAAAGTAAGCCAAATTTTCTTTGAATAGCACTTTCGTATTTATAGGTTGGATACATTTAAAAGTAGTTATAGGCAAGATGTATGTAAATTTTGAATATAATGATGGTTTCTTATTTCATAAAGAATTAAACTAAAGGCTTTAAGCAAAAGTAGCTTGTACAGTGTTTCTTTATAAGCAATCTCTCAAATTAATTATTGAATTAAAAATTGAATTTTTAGAGAATAATTCATTTAATTTGAATAAATCAAGAATGAAATAATTAAATAAATACTCCTTATAAGATAATAGGATATCTATCTAAAGAGAAATAATTAATTCTTCCTTCCTAATCTTTTATCCCTTACGATTTATTTTTATGATATATAAAATCAATATGAAAAATAAAGATTTTCATGATTCAAATTGAGCAACTTTACTTTAATCTATCCAAATATCATACCTTTTGAAAATTACTATTGGAGATTATAATTTATATATGGTCATCTACTATAAACAAATTATGATTCGGAGTTGGTTCTACATATTTCAATTAAGGGAAATGAAAGATTAGTACCATCTTCTAATTAAGATCCGCCATACGTAATTCAGTCTAACAAAATTAATTACAAGTTTCTTGTAAACATCAGAACTCTCTAACTTCAATTAGTAGAATTTTATATTAGGCAACCTGTGGTTAATGTTTTGCGATAAAATTAAAAAAAAATAATACTAGGTTACTTAGATAGCCCTAAACTGCAACAACAAAGGCTATACAAAATTAGACTGAAAAAGTCTTCGATGAAGATAATATTTTTGAATAGCCTATAACTATAAATAAAGTATTGAATATTGCTATCAATTCCAAAAATTTGTTAAGGTTGTTTTTTATTGAATAATATATATAAATCATTTCATTTACTAATAAAAAGCTATATAATGTGGCAAGCCCTAGAAATTATGAATCAACTTAAGAATTATGAAATCCAAAATATTGCCTGTAGAATTATTGTTAATCAGATACTATTGAACATTATAAATGCCTATTATTGCAGAAATAATATAATAAATAGGATAGATGATTAATTGGAGGACTAGATGTTTTCAAAGTTTGGGTATTTAACATATGACATTATTAATACGAAAAACTTGATAAAATTAAAATTACATGTTAATCATGGAAAGTTCTTTAAAAAATAGGAAATAGTCTTAATATAATTATTACTCTTAATAAATATTCAATCATAATGCTTAAGAATGTTAAATAAAATTTATTTAACAGTGAAAAATGGAAATTTAGGATCCTATTTTTGTATAACTTGAAAAATAGACCAAAAGATATTTCAATTTCATTAATTATACCGAACCCATATGGCATTTTTATTTTTTGTTATTTTGATATTAAACTTTAAAATAGGATATCAATTGATACACAAAATATTGTTTAAATAAAAAACCCAATAGTTTACTTCAATAAAGAAGTTATAGTTGAAACTCTGATGGTTCCTTTAAAGAAAACCACAAGAACGAGTAACAGGTTCACGCAAAATAATTTTACTCCTTTGATTAGCATAATAGAGAAGAGGCAAATTCCTGGAAAAAACTTTATTAATAAATTTTTCTCAGTTACACAAACAAACTCCAATAGTATAAAATTCAACAGATACCATCAACTTAATCTACTCAATAACAGCCTTATTACAGTAAAAATAAATAATAAAATAAATCCTTAATCTTCAAAATTCAATTGTTTTAAGAAAAAGCCTGTTACATGGGATCATCACTAAGAATAATTGTACAGTAAATTTTTCGAGTTTATAGAATCAAGGTTCAACGAAGTTTGTAAAAGTAATTGAATTTTTTTTAAGATAAGACTATTACAAAGGAGAACAAAGTCTGTAAATATCTTTAGAGAATTGATTTTCCACAGATTATCTGTACTATTCGTGATAATTACCTTAATCCTTTAACCATAACTTTTATTTAGGGTTTTTTTATTACAAAATATTTTAAATGGAATGGATACTATGTTGTGTCCTATATCATATTAATTCTTAATTTAATATTTCTAATCTTCATAATTAGTAGCAGTTATGATGATATTACTAAAGAATTATTAGTTTAAACTATAGTTCACCCTATTGTATAGTTTTTCTCATTTGCAGTGTTTTAGTCAAAAGTAACTAATGGTGTATCAATTGCGAAATAAGCATTCTATGTTTTTTTATAAGGTTAATTTAACTATTTTTAAGATTTGGGATATCATAATGATTGAAGTATATTTAGATGTAAAGAAATTTTTGCTGATTAAATTAGAAGAGAGTTTAGTGCTGTAGGATACTTAATATTCAAAAATTATGGCAAGAGTAGACTTCATATTCAGTTTTTATCGTATAAGGCTGTTGAAATTGATCTTAAAAATATTATGCAAATAAAAAACTGACCATTTTATTAAGCTGGTATGTGGGTAACAGATGTTTAAGAAGCTCTGAATAAAATTCTTTAGTTCTATTTATATTTTTTAGCATATGAACTCTATAAAATAATAAATGATAAAATCTATGCTTTAAAAAATCTTGACTTGTTTAAAATACACCAATTATTAGACTTTCTTACACCTGCAATAAAATGATATATATGAAATCTGTAATAACAAATGATGTGCCAAAAATATCATAATAACATATACTGAATAAGATGTTACATTTTCAGACAAAATTCAAATTTCTAAAATATATTGGAATTAGTTAATACAAAGTAATTTTAAATATGATTCTTTGGATAACATACTGATCCAGCCCAAATGTTCTTTTATGTATTGGAATTTCAATTGAAAGTACTATCCATTTGAAAAGCAAAATAATTTTCGGAGCTTCAAAACTGGATAATAGGCTATCAAAAATTGCTAACTTTAAAGAATATTTAAGAATAATGAAATTCTTATATATCAAACTCTAAAATGAAAAGAATTCCTTAAGTCATTTAATAGATATTATTTTATTATTGAAAATAATAAATAGAATTCATAAATGTTCTTTAATACTTTATGAATATTGATATTCTCAAAGTTAGTAAGTTAATATCAGATAGATCATAAAAATAATTCATACTGTAATTTTAACTCCTTCAAATTTTCTAGGTTCTAAATACTGAGATTGAAGAAATAAATATTCGAAGAAAAATAAGTGTGAAAAGAAGATTTCTCAAATTGTCCCATGATTTCGCTTGTGAAATTAAAATTATATAGTCAAAAAAAATAACTAGCAAATTTTGATTAAGTTTTTATTTAGTATAGTTTTTATTGATTCAAATTCATGGTAGATTAATAGACTTAAAATCTTCAATCTGAGATAAGGATAGAAATAATTATTTAATTACATAATGAATATTTGGATCTTCTACCAACAAAATCCAAGATTCATCACTCATGCACTTTACTTCTATGAATTATATATTGTATTACAACTATTCTTGATTGCTTGTTATTTTATTTTAGTATTTATCTAGGATTATTCATTAAAAACTAAGAATAATATTGATTTTCTTTAATGGAAATTATTTATTCTCAATACATTACTTTAATGAATTAGCATTATCAATAAGAAGAATCTCTAATCGATTTGAATAATTTATTAAAAGATGATAGAGCACGATTAGTTGGAATCTGGTTCAAATATACTCCCTAATGTATAATATAATAAGTAGGACTTGTTGCAATAATTTATAGCAAATGCTTTCATTATTAGAGTGTAACTGAAACATTATCAAAATGTTTGGAATAAATTTGTGATGATTACCTTGATCCTGAAAGTAAAACCATATTAAAATTTGTAGCTTTTCATGTTTAAGATGGTAAATAGTAATCATTTATATAAATTATTTTACTATCCTTAAAAAAATATATTAGAATTCATATTATAAAAGACAACTCAAATTTGCTTAGAATAAAGTAAACACTTTACTCTTTAAAGAAAATTAAGTAAAATAAATATTGGAGGTAGTCTAATTTTATGTTTAAGTATGTTGATATATAATTATACAAAATTCAAATATATTGTAAATAAATCATAGTTGATTTGGCCAATTTCTTAAACTTATATTATTTTAGATGTCTTAAAATGCCTTATTAAATACCTAATTTTGAATAATCATTCCTCATTACTTTATATTTAATCTTGTTAACATAAGATTAGACATAGTAAGAAAGTTAAATAATTAGATTGCAATGAAAACAGTTTTATTATTACTGAAGAGTTTGAAATACATCCCAAAATTACTTTTTGCACAGTTTATCTTTTAATCTTATATCAGAAGAGAAACTCATTTCAACTGATTTTTTGAATCTTATCATGCATTTGAATATTCTTACTTTCATATTTTAAAGCAATATCATGATGTATAATTTTAAGTATAATTTAGAAATTTAATGAAATCAGTACCTAATTATTTAAATATTTAAACAAGAAATAATTTGTTTTCTAATTGCTAATAGTAGGTAGAATAGCAAAATTGTCTAACTTATGACCGGTACCTCCAGTAATATCAGAACGAAAAGAAGAGTGGACTTAGAAACTAGTAACTCTATTATTATTGAAATCCACATTGGGAACTGTCTAATTCTGATTGGGAATATTCATTAAACTGAATATAAAT